GGTGTGTGGGCCATTTCCTTTAGACGTTAAGAGACTGGCAGGAGTGGCTGTGTTTTTTTTTAACTGCTTTTTATAACCAACTTAGCAGCTTACAGTGGGTGACTCTGGCTTCGTGCAGTGTATCTCTTTCCACGACCCCCGATTTGGCACAATCAAAACCTGGTGGAGAGATGGGAGGAGTGAAGGAGTGCAGGATGTGCGGTCAGGAGTGGTGGAGGAGATGGGAGAGAATTGGCACAGTCTCAGGAGATAAGAGGCTTCCTTGCAGCCCTTTATTCTAGAGATTCCAGTAAGAAGGGCTGGAAAAAGCACAGCCAAGAGGAAAATTGCAGTTGTTTGTGGTTTGGTTCTGACACTACAGCCTGAACACGTTTCTAGATCTTAGTTAACAAAACTTACAGTCCGTAACCCACCTCTTTAAGGGTGATTGGCTGAGGAAAAATGCAGAAGATTTCTTCAACACTGTACATTTCAAATCCCTCCAAAATCATTCTCTCGCTCGAGTACAATGTGCTCATTCCAAAGAGCATGCTACTGCTGTTAGTTTTTTTTTAATCCCATTTTGGAGGAACGGATATCGTTAATGTTCTATAATACAGCCATCACAGACGCATTTCTGTGTCCTTTAATTATTGAAAAGTCAAAGTTGACATTCGGCATCTGATCAATAGTACAGCATTTAGGGGACTTCTCAAAATCGTTTTGTCACTTGACAGAAATGGTTTTTAGCACCTTTGTGTACTTTGAAAGGGTTTACACATGTAAAATGTATGGTGTCAAGTAATGAGATGGTTTCAGATGGTATAACAAGTTATGACGACAAAATAAATAGGGGAGGATTAAAATCGTAAGATCTAAAAAAAAAAACCCACTAAGACTGTAGTTATACCACATCGATGAGGATCAGACATACAACAGACTTGCACTTAAAAATGCTCAAGCCCTCATTCAAATTAATTAAAGGCAGGTGTTTCATGTGAGGTACTCCTAATCTGTGCTGGAGGCAGATGTGTTGCTGTTTGTTCTCATTAATGTCAGTCATCAGAGCAGTAAAGTGTAGCCAAGTGTGAACACATTGTAAAAATTTAGAGTATGCTTTACCACTGTTTGGTAAATAAGAGAATGTGGCACTGGAGCCTCAGACCCGTAATTCTGCTGCTTCAAGTTCCTGGGAGCTGTTCAAAATAAAAACAACACAAACCGGGAATCATTCTAACTAAAGACCAGTAGGTGTGGCAGTGGCCAGCAGGCAGTCATGATCCTGTCTCAGTCCCAAAATTTACAAACCCCTCCCACAGAAGAAAAGGTTATTTCCCAGCCCATCCATGTAAGAGAACCTTTTCTTCTCCCACATCGATTATGCCTTCTCAGAAGAAGAATGAAATGCAAAAACACAAGAGGTGCTGTCACAGAACCAGAGGAAGGGGTAAAAATGTTGCGATTCAGCTTTCCCTGCTGGCTGAATAACAGCCACACTCCTAATTCCTAGAAACTGGCGGAGACTATTCACTAGCATGCAAATTCTTTATGGACACAAAAAAAGCGCGGAGGCATGTGGTCATCGTTTCTTTTAGCCCATTACTAAATTTTCTGCAGATTTTGAGGGATGTAACTTCATTTTGGACCAATCGACTGAGCAGCAGTTTTTAAAAAAAATCAGGAGACTGAAAATTCAAGGCTATCTTTAATCAATGGCTTAAAAAAAACGTACCTTCATGTCAAACTAAAATGTTTAATGAAATGCAAATTTGTTTTTTGTCCATTATTTCCTTCCTCTAGGTAGGGCATTCCTAAAGATAACAAATGCACTGTACCAGACAGGTGGCATTAACATTGTCCTGCCTTAAAAACAAGAACTCAAATCCTTTATTGAACATTACATCTGTTAGAGAGACAAAGGAAACTGCACAATCATAAGCATATACATTTAAGCACTGAGACAGCAGCAGCGCAGCCTGACAATTTGATTTCTTTTTCTTCTTCATGGCCTAGAAAAAAGAAATCTTTCCTTTTGCACCAGGTTGGTTTGGTTCCTTTGTTGTTATTTTTTCAAAGTTGTTTTTTTCCCCTTTTCCTTTTTTTTTTTTCCCTTTCCAAAGGGTTTTGGTTTTTTTTTTTTTGCATTTGCATTAGAAAATTATATAAAGTTCACCCAAGACCTAAAAAAAAATCATTTCTAGTTGTAAAAATGATAAAAAAAACAACCAAAGTAATGTGAAAACCAACTGAAATGCTGGATATAAGAAAGAAACAAAATAACGGTGACTTTATACACTAGAATTTGTTTACAAATAACTATCTGATAGGCATTAAATATAGTTCCTCACTCCTGTATGGCTGCCCAAGAGAATTCCACCTGCACACTGAAATGTATGGCAACACACAACACAGGCTACTGCTACAGAGCTCCTGCCTCTCTCCGTTCTCAGGAGAAACAATAACACATCAAACAAAGCACTGGGACGCAGTCAGAAACACAACACCCTCACACATGCGAAAGAAAATCAGCACTACTTGTTCTGTTTCTTAAATTCAACCTCGCAAGACGTTCCATGTATGTTTTGGTTAATGAAGGTTCAAGAAGTGCGTTACATTTTATCAAACTGCTAACATCCACTTGGCTCCTCTGAAAATCAAAATGTAATGAAAAATAACGTAACGAACCTTAGAACGAATACCAAAAGGAAGGATCTTTTAAACCTCTCCATGTGAGCCAAACACAGAAAACTGAAATGTGTCATTCTTACCAATACAGAATATTTCACATAATATTAGCAAGACTCCAATATTAGCAAAAGAGGGATTTTGTTGACCTGCGACAAATGATTGGCCCTTATTTGGGTTTTCGGTGGAGAAGAGTACACGTGATGGTGGAATGAAGACAAAAACTTGAAACGGAGTGTGGATGGCTTTCAAAGCCATAACAAAATGTCGTCTTAAAAAAATGGTATCAACCTGACTGGTCCCTCTCCCAGTGGATTACACACAAGACTGGACAAACAAACTGCAACAATGGCTCATCTTTTGTTTCACTTTGAACTTATTTTTTGAGGTCCTCCTGTGCGAGGAAGAAAAAAAAACGTCCTCTCCCGGACCATCGCTCACGGGCAGGACACTGTGGGACTGCTGTGTCCACAGTGGCAAAGAAGGAACCGTCTGATTGGCTGGACAGTCATTCCCTGGGGAATAAGCCTGTGGCCGATTGGTCGAGGCCCCCTTCTTAACACGCAAGCTCCAGCGGTTCCCGCGGCAGTGCCTCCGGCCTGGCTGGCGCGACGCCCGCTCACACCGAGATCTCGTACGTCGTCCCGCCCACACCTGACACTTTTTTAACACTCGTGTGGCGGCCTGGGCTCACCGGGGTACTCTGGGAACCGGACGGGGTCCCCAGGCGGCAGTCGGCCCTGGTCAGGCCTTTGGGCTGCCCGTTTATTTTACTGTGGGCCTGTTTCACGTGGCCATCGTCCCTGGAGAGGGGAAAGAGAAGAGGAGGGATTTTACATGGCTGGGGAAAAAAAATGATTCCACCTCACTTGTTCGTGCACGTTGGCGCCAGCTCCTCACATGCACACTGTGTATTTATAGCATCCTGAAGGGGAGGTGTGGGCGTACGTGCACACATGCTGTCGTGCGTTAGCACACTCGAAGACATCTCATCCGCCATGCACATGCAGTTGGGCCTATTTCAGCTTCACTTAAACAGCACAGGCAAGATCCGGTTTTTTAACAGCATCAGGCTTGTCAAAGCAAAATGGAAACCAAGACAGATTATTCCCAAAAAAGCATAACGAGCATTAAGGACCAGTGTAAACATGCAATACAAAAAAAAAAAACACCCCAGATTAATCCTGTTAGCACTTTAAAAAATACATAGAAGAGGTCAGTCAACTTATAAAAGAAAAGAAGACGACTTCACTTCTTCTTTGGATGATTGTTTTAGATTCTTTACCATTTACAGTTCTGTTTCTTGTCTTCACACACATCACAAGAGCATGCTGATGGAAATTAAGAGCCGAAGCAGTTGTGAATTCCACCCCCTCACTTAGTTCCACAGACACAGCAAAGCGTGGAGATTGGACTCATGCTCAGGGGTAGAGGGTGTGAGAGTGCTGTTTTTAGACTTCTCCTATATTACTTTCTCTATCATGGCAGGTTGATGGGCTAAATTATCTTCAAATGAAACAGGCTAACTACGTGCAGAAAGCCCCCTTAGCCTCGGTCATTCCTGAATTAGAAGTGACCAATCAAACTGGAAGTGTTAGGGCGCAAGTCCACAGGCAGAAGGTAAAAACATGCAAAAAAAAAAGAGCAAAACTTTTATTGGTTCTAAAATTTAAAAATACACACATCACCTTTAACTACAGAACATTTAATGATATCCCAGCATATTTTAGCACTGTATTCCTTATTTAACTGCACAAGTTAAAATAAATAAAAGATTTTCCATTTTCCCATTTTGTCAGATCTCTTCAAGACCGGCTAGCTCCCTCATGCACAAACAGCATTAACCACGAGCACGTCTCCTGGGGAGCTACTGTAAGCGCAGGGGCTCAGAGCGCCTGAACCGGGTAACAGGGCTGCCCAGAGCAGACTTGGGAGCTGCCTTCTCTTTAATAGGTCAAAAAAGACGTTTGATCTTTAATCCTTGAAGGGAATTTGCGTTACCCCTGTACAAGGTGAGCAAAAAAACACCCGCTCTGTCTGATGGAGGAAGTTACGCCCGGTGATGCTCAAATCTCTCGTCATGCACTTAGGACTCGTACCTTGGGCCTCCCAGAGGTGGTGAGTCCGTCATTTCCAAGGCGTTGATGAAGGAGAGGGGCTTTTGGTGGCTGTAAGAGGGGGAGCGGGGCAGCACCAAAGGGGAGTGGGGCACCTGGTGCGCAGGGGACCTGTACGGCGCCTCGCTGGGCCTGCCCTGCACGTTGTTGTTCGCCAGGTCCGCGTGCAGAGAGGTGGTGGAAGTCCTGGGGGCGCGGGAGAGGGCGGCGCTGCCGAGCGAGGTGGCCGAGGAGCGCAGGAGGGGGTTCCGGGCGCCGAAGGCCGAAACGCTGCCCATCAGGTCGTCGCGGGAGCCGAAGGGGCCGGCCGGCGGGTGGCCGCGCGGGTCATCGGGGAAGCAGGCGCCCGGCTGCAGGCTGTACCCGCTGGGCGCGTCGTAGACGCCCGAGTCCGCGGCCTGGGCCTGGGCCTGCGCCTGGGCGTGCAAGTGCAGGAGCTTCTCTCTCTCCTCCAGCTCCTTGCGCTCCTGGATGGACGCCATGATGGTCTTGGAGAGGTTGTCATAGCGCACGGGGGAGGGCTCTCGGGGGTGAGGCGAGCGCCTGCCGCCGCCGCCGCCCCCCAGGATGGGGCTGTAGGTGGGCGGGAGCTGGCGCTGCAGTTCGGATCCCCGCACGTGGCACATTTTGGCGGACAGGTAGGGCGAGTGGTACCCCCCCGGAGCCACCCCAGGGTGGGCGAGGCACTCGCTGGCCGCGGGCGAGAGCGCGGGGTTGAGCAGGCTGTCGTAGGACAGGCTGCCGTTCCGGCTGGACAGCGCCCCGCCGGGAGAGAAGATGCTCTTGTAGGGGGTGGAGGTGGCCCCTTCCGACCTCAGGGGGTGCAGGGCAGCCTTGTCGCCCCCGCGGCGGTGGGCGTGCTTGAGGCTGAGCGAGCGCGAGCTGGCGGCGAAGGAGTCCAGCTGCAGGGGCGAGGACTGGAACGTCCTGTGCAGGGAGGGGTTCCTGTACTCCGGCAGGTCCAGGTTGGGCTCCGAGCGGTAGTCGTGACCCCTCCCACTCTCCTCCACAATGGCCGCAGCCTCGCGGTCGTCTTGCATCACGATCTGCCAGGAGAAAGGAGAAACGAAAACAACAAAATTCGCACAGATCCTTCCGTTTGCAGTGCCCCCTGACCTGATCCAAGACCCCCCCACAGCCCTCTGGCCCAGGAACTCGCTTCACTGACACTGTGGACACAGGAACGTGAGGACAACTGTCTCAGACAGCTATGATCACCATCAATGAAACCATTCAAGTCAATTGATTTTTATATAGCGCCTTTCACAACAAGGTTGTCCCAGGGCGCTTAACAATGCAAGTGACCCTACATGGTGTGAATACAGAACAGAAAAGACCAGAAGACAACGGAGGAGAGGAACCAAAAACTCCTCTGCAAGGAGAACAAAAACCTCTAGGGGTCCAAGGTCAACTGGCTGCCCAAGCCCTTTGGGGTGGAATATATATATCAATAATAACATATCAAATTATTATATATATTATATTATATATCAAAGTCATATGAGCTCCTCACTAAGTGACACTGAGGAAGAACGCCTAACCTGAGGACCACATGAAATACAGTTAAACCTCCGCGTTCGTGAGGGTCTGGTACCGTGAAGTCTCTGTGGATGGCGAGTTTGCGAATGTGGGATTTCAGACCTTATGGGGAAAATAGGGTATCGAGCTCATTAAACAACATCATAGCTCATGAAACAAGCCTTGAACTATTCACAATTTCAGAAATGGTGTCGGTTTTTTATTGTATGGTAGTATTTTTCATGAAAATGAAACCTGGACATTTAACAAAAAACAATGTTTTCCTCCTATAATTCAAGTTACTGCATGCGCAAACAAATAAATGAGATCGCCAGTGTGATATCATAGTGTACCCTGTATTAGAGTTTGTTATTTTTCCATTATTTGTAGAGCACGTTTTTTTAACTTGCATCTCGTTTTTATTACGATTATATACACAGTGCTACTGTACTGTCATAAACTTTATTACTGCACAGTAATAACAGACAGAGTAAATTAAGTGACCTCGCTCTCCTGCGCTGGTGGTTTGTCCAGTTCTCTTCTTTTTAATTTACTATGTAATCCTTTTCCACGAGGCACGTGAGAACTGACACTGTGATAACACAGGGGACAGTAGAGGGGTTTTCTGTAATTTAATGTGTCTTTTTATTTCGCGGTAAAACCCCAAGGTCTCATATAGGCTTTACTCTGATAACAGCTCTACACACAACGCACATCTTCCGTTTCCCTGCTGGAACCTGAATAAGTGATGCATTACCCATGGTGCACGGCTACATAAACAGGTTCACTCTTTGTTCACCAAGCTGTTCTTTGACTACGGAGGCCGACGAAGACACCCCTACTGCTCAGCCTGGGAACAGGCAAATTTGGTCTGCGAATGCAGAAAAAGTGGTTGCAAAACATTTAGCTCAAATAGCCGAAAATATCGAGGTTTTACTGTATATCATCTGTGTTTACAAGGCAGTTTTTTTTTCCATTATCTGAGGCACAGGGCGATGCACTGCACCCAGGGGTGTATAGGATCTGAACTTCGGGAATCTGCTCACTGGGGGAAGCCCTGCAGTCGTTTCTGATGGAGACTGACCTTCTCTCCCGTGGGGTGGTAGTGCACTTTGGGCATGGTGCTGAAGGAAGGCCTGTACTTGTACATGGCTGGGGTGGAGGGGTTCAGTGGCTGTGTGGACAGGGTGCTCTCTGGAAGAAAAGGGAGACAACAGGCCAGTTTGTGCGGGCGGCAGAGACACTCGGTTTTCCATAAGCTCCTGGCGAGAGAATCTTGTCAGGCATCAGCCTGCCTGACCCCAAACATGCTCACATCCTGTTCGGACTTCCATCTCAGGAAGCTGCCATCTTGGCTGGTAGCCTGGAGGTGGGCGGGAAGATCTTGGTGCCAGGAGAGAGAAAAAAGGGCCCACTCTGCCAGTCGGGGTTTTGAGAACCCAGAATACCCAAACCACAGATCTGGCTTTCGTTCGGCTGCTTTCTAACGCGCTCTGTGGGCCCGAACGTCACCGAGGCTCTGTCACAAAGGAAACTTGACGTGTTTAAAATAACTCCACCACTGTACAACTCCAAATTGCCTGCCAAATGAGAAAGTGTACAGTTTCACGATTAAGCAACGTTTTTCTTGACCTGTAGCAAAAAAAAAACAGATGTGTCTGGCTGGGAAATTGCCTCACATTTCACCCCTCTTAATTGAACACGCGTGGCTCATCGGTATCTAGTCAATCTTTAAACTAATTTGACTGATTTGACTAATTTGACAGGGCTCTCTAGGACCAGGGATGGTAACCACTGGTCTAGGAGATCTGCATTACAAAGAGGTGGGAAATCATGTATATGATAATAAGGGACATTGCCGAAAATCTATAGTGATGTCATGTGGGGAAAATGAGACTAGACTGTGAACAATTTTCCCAAACAATTAATCAATTTCCTAAAAAAAGAATCCCTTTTTCAACTTAGGAAAGAAGGAAAGAAAGGACACCTTAGATGATGGCTGTACAGTATAAACCCATGCGGTTCCCGTTATTTTAATTTTTTTAGTAGTTAAGGCTTTAAGCATTTTGACCACTAGGAGGAGACAAAAGCGCAATCAGCCTATTGCGAGGGAAGAAATCAAGTCGTTCTTCCCAGCAGTCAGTATAGAAGATTGCTCTCCGTGATGTGTTAATCATCACTGCTACCACATCAGGAAAACACAGAAAAATAGCACAGATTAGATTCTTATATATCTGTGGTGCAAAATCAAGTGAGAGAAAAAAATAATGAAAGGAACCTCTCTCCAGAACTGAACAGTTGATCCATTTTGGCCCTGAAAATGCAGGTCAGCAATTAGCAACAATCCCAATTAACCTGATTGAAATCAACTGCTCCACAGGACAAGAAATACGGCCCCTCACCCTTGACCTGATCCCATCTTCAGTCACCCCTTGCTGTGCCTGTGCAGGTTTGTACAGCTCTGTGTTTAACAAGACTAGCATGGTTCAAAGTGCACTGGAAGGACATATCAGATTAAATAATAAACAGCTTTTTTTTCTCTCAAAAGAACGGAAAGCCAGTCAGAGTTCTCTTGGAGAGCGAAACGGCCTTGTGTGGTGTCTGAAGAGGGTGTGCATGGGGGGGGGAGGTTGAAGACGTTTTTGTCCTGACAATGCTTGCCAGAGCTCCGCTCAGAGCTCGCTACTGGAAGACAAAACTGCCATCTGCAGTATTTCATTCTATAATTATCTCCCCAAGAGTGTCCTCCACGAAGTCTTACTATAGCAATCACCCACCCCTTTGAGATAAAACCAAATTAAATAGGATCATTCAGGCATCAAACAGAAGCCTTTGTGACAATTCCTAAAATCCTTAATGCCTTATGTTAGCTGTTCCACTAAGGCATTTTGTTATATTTTACAAGAGTGCAGATAATGAGGACTGGCATCAAGTTCCTTTTTAAAGGCAATGATATGTCTACACGATATAAAATATACTGATCACTTAAAGGAACTAGATTTCTGTTTTAGAACGTGTAGTTCACACTACCCTGGAAAAAAGGACAAACTCACAACCGCCCAGCACACAAGAAAAGCTCCTTTTTCCCTAGTCAGAATCTGCCCTCCACACACAAAAAATGAAAAAAATCTCCCACAAAAGAAAGACTCAGTTTTCTGCTCACAAGCCTTATTCCTTTTATACAGCTCAAGATCTTCCTGTGCAAAAATAACTGTAAGAAAAATTCACTAGGATTCCTCTTAAAAATGACCAACTCTTCCCTTTCCAAACATTTCTAGGAATTTGCTGTACATTACAACAGCACCCTGTGTTTATGACCCTGCGCTACCTGGATATTGTATCGCCTAGATTGCTAGAATGCAGCCGAACCTCAGGTTTCTGGCTGATGAGCACGTTACCACAGTGTGTGTGGGCTGGAGGGGCGATGGGGGGACAGAACAAACCTTCACTGGACGTCAGCTGGCTCTTCAGCTCCGTGTACTTGCTGGGGTCCGCCTTGGGGGGCAGCGGGGGCTGGCTGTCCATCTGCAGGTCCTCCAGCGCATCCAGGCTCGATTTAGACTGGCAGGGAGGGATGGCGAGAGAGACAGGGGTACAGGGGAGCACGTGAGACGACAAACCTTTGTGTTGCATTGACTTGCCAGTTCGCTTGTTATTTTTAGCGGCAGCAGCCACTAAAAATAAACCAGCTTGATAAAAACAATAAAGCAGCTTGTCAGTGATGTCTCTAGCGATTCGGAGGTTCATCTATGCTGCTGATTTGGCCCTGCAGCATTATAGTCCACAAACCTACCACATTTCAGACATGGAACTGCACAAATTGGAAACAACAGCGCAGGTTCCAGGTCAGTGAATGTCTTATCAGAAAAGCAATGAGAAAACAAGAATCTGTTAGTCCAATCAGATCCGCTCACCATAATCAATAAAGAGCAATAGTGCTTGCTTAAAAGCCTTTACAGTACTAGCAGTGGAGACTGTGGAGCAATAGAGCAAAACTGGAAATTTAAACGCAAGACAGAAACCAGTACTTCCTTAGGCTTCACACATTGCAGTGTTTAACCCGGCAGCAATGGACAGATCATCTGAGTGGAACCCAGCCCATGTCTTGCCTCAGCCAGTCAGCCTGAGGGGAGCGTGATCAAAGCACTGCAGCTCCCAAACCAGCTGACCTCATTCATCCCAGCAGCTTCAATGGGCAATAAAAGCCCACCCTTGCACTTCTATTCACTTGGATTGAAAACAGATGCTTACTTTGGTTCTGTGGATGTTGGCGTGAATCCCGTTGTCGCTGATTTTCACCGTGATCTGCCGGTCCGTGAGGCTGGGGTGGAGGAATGGAGGCTTGATGCATACCTGCGGTTTTTCCCTGGGGTCCGCTATATACCTGCAAGACGGCGAAGTCACAGTAAGTCAGCGGTCTGGGTGAAGTGTACATCAACGCTGCCTCACTGGGACGCGAGCCTGCTACCTTTCGATTTCCCATTGGAAATTTGTCGTCTAAAGCGGGTCATTTTTGCAGGACATCCTTAACCTCTGACCTCTGTAACCTCCGACCCTCTGCACAGCTTGTCACAGCAGCTGGCTGAAGACAGCTGTGGTGGTGCAGTTGGCTCAGACGCAGGGGGGCAGGTGACATGAGCACACGACGAGGCTGTCCCGTCTCCAAACCTGGACAACCTGCCAGAGAAGCTGCGCGCACACACCTCACCCACAGAGGGCCCAGGCCCCAGCTGTGAAAGGACCACGCAGCCCCCCGATTTGATTTCAGGAGAAACACGGCGCTCTTGTGACATTAAATATTTAAGACGCAGTTTTCTTTTTTTTGGGGGGTTCTAAGAAAAGCTCTTTGACATGCAAATGTGCCGTTTCTTTTGAAGAACGTCCCAGGGAGGCAGATGGCAGCACAAATCAAATCGTCTCGCGGAACAATGTTTTGGAAGAAAGAAAAACGCAAAGCACAGTAATTGCAAAGCAATAGCAGTGACTCACACTCTTAGGAACAATACTACAGCCCACAGAAAAAAAAAATCTGAAAAGGAAAAACGGGATTTTAGTTTCCGACTCTAAAAAGGCAAACTAATTGCCCCCTTCAGAATACCCAGAACTTGTGTGCATTGTCACAAGTTTCCTTTCAGTCATTTTGTTTTGTTACGGTGCTATTTTAGAAGCAAACTGTCCGAACTGTTCCATAACACTCGTACCCTGTGGGACAAAGCCTCTCTCGCCATCTCTGAAGCAAACCAGAAATTTTAGGAGCTGTTTTCATGGTGTCTATGCACAGTTAATGGAAAGAAATTGAAAATCACTGACGACTGAAGGTGAACCTGTAAGTGCTGGGGCCTAGCACCATACCTTGGGGCGAGTGGACTGCACAGGACGTGCTCCACGTTTCCACGGCAACCTCGGGTGAACGGGTTGACCCCCCCGCGGAACTTTCCGGTCACCTACAGCACAGGAAGCAACATTATTATTTATTTAGCTGACTTTTGGATCCAGAACAGCTTAGACTGGCACCCTTTTATACAACTGGGTATTACACCAGAACGGTCCGAGTAAAACACTTTTCTCAAGTGAACATCAGCAGCGCCTCATGGGGATTTGAGCCTACTACCTAATACCTAAGGAAAATTGATTTAACAGTTCACAGAAACAGATTGTACCCGTGTTACAAAAAGGTAAGCCAGTACAGGGTGTGAATCGACAACTCTTCTTCAGAATCCACTTCGACCGTTAAAAAAGGATTCGGAGTAGAAAAGCTTGGAAAATTGAACATTCCAAGTCCAGTTATGAATGGCTGGATTTCACTGGGCAGAGGAAAGAAGTCTCTGTACACAGAAAGTTGACCTCGTTTTCCTTCATTGTTTTACTAGTTCTCAGACTACTTCAAAACATGCTGCAATTGCGATATGTACCTCTTTAGTACATTTACGATAGCGATGGTCTTAAAATGGTATAAATGATGGGCCAAAAAGACCTATCCTCAGTATATCCCTCCTTTCAACACGAACTTATTACCCCTTCATCGTCTGCCTGATGTGCTTCACCCTGTCTTAGGCATTCTGCCCTGTTGCTGGAGCCTTACTGCTGTGTTACAGAAGCCTGCCCTGCTGTCAGAATTACACTCCTATAATCTCTGCATCCAAGCATTTTATATTGTCTCTCCACACTGTCCTCTTCAGCTAGGTGGAGAGTTCTCTGTTCACGGCTTCTTCTGGTTCAATCGCGTCACTCCCCTTCAGTCAGAATCTCACCTGCTCGTTTGTCGTCCGGCCCCTGGCAACCAGAACCATATGGAAGGTGGTGAGTCCGATGACTGGAATAAAGAACAGGCCGGCCACACACATCACCACCAGGCTGCACGGCTGAGTCAAGGAGCGTTAGTCTGAGAGCAGGTCATTCACCAAGAGCCGCAGAAGGAATGGGACGAGTAACACCTTTGTGTATCTTAGAGTAAATGTCAGCATTTCGGCACCTTGCAGTTGCAGTAGGTAAGATAAGATAAGAGATCACTTTAGTGGCCATATACAATGTCTTGTATTAGGATTTTGTCCTTTTGCAGACCCCAACTTGCTCTCCATGAGACACACAAACAGGGAGAGAGGGTCAGCCATGTATACTACGCCCCTGGAGCAGTTGGGGTTAAGGGCCTTGCTCAGGGGCCCAACGCAGTAGGATTCCTCTGCCGGCCATGGGATACAAACCGGCAACCTCCCAGCCACAGGCGCAGATCCTTAGCCTCATAGCCTCCGGCCCGCCCATAGTAGGCAGTAGGGAGAAACACATTATTAAGGGGAAGGCATTTAAACTGGAGAACAGATGGCACTTCTTTACACAAAAGGGTAACTAAGCATGTTGTTGAAACTGATATGATTTCAAGAAATGGCTGGAGGAGATCCTCAGGAACCTAGTGAGCTAGATATGGCAAAAAATATCTCCTGTCGTTGACAAACTCTTATGTTCTTAAAATAAAAGGACTGCTGATGCCAACTAACACACTTCCATACCTTCACTGAAATGCACGCTATAGCTGAACTTAAAGGCATGTCCCAAATTCTCAAAAAGCTGAACAACTGACCACCACACTCTGTCCAGCTGGATTTTGAGAAAACCCCCCCCAAAAAACAAACAAAACATGTCTGCCGCATACTAAAACAAAAGAAAGACCACATCCAAATGTGACTCCCATTTCTCCAATTCCTAAAACGACTAACTGTACAAACTGAAGACATTCACATTGGCAGGCTGTTTGAAGCTGGTTGCTCAGGAAGAGAGACAATCAGTCTAACACAGGAGCCCCTCTGTGCAACTTGCTTTGATAAATCATCATCCTCAGGTGCAAGAGCAGGTTTGGGGATGGGACAAGCTACAGCTGAGCCCCTGGCTGTCCAGCAGGTTCGCCTAGCCCATTGGGAAGGAGCTGCCCTGCTGGGTTGGGCAACGACACTGGATACGTGACCGTGGTGTGCAAGGCGCCCAGCCTCTCCAGGTGGTGCAGCACGAAGAGCAGGCCGAAGGAGAAGACGCCAACCATGTGTGTGCTGAGCGACAGCAGGAACAGGAAGAAGTAACGGTAGTTCCTGCGGCCGATGCAGTTGTTCACCCAGGGACAGTGATGGTCAAAGTCCTGCAGGGAGAAAACAAAAGCTGCCTGAGCCCCTGGTAAGTCTACACACTAAATGTCAGCCATGTTTAAATACAGGGGCACTACTTCTGCAAAGGCAAATAACCAGTCTGGTTTGTATGGGTTTACTGTCTCTCTTTACATCATGTACTAAACTAACAGCACTGCATTTTCTTTTGCCATTTAGCCAGGTGTGAAGTTTACCGATACAAAATTAGAAACACTTTTTCTATAGTCTGTACAGAACCCTGTCAACATCTGCTAATTCTCTATGTGATCAGGCCCAGGTTTATTCATCTTCACTTTACATGGAGTATGGTGGTGAGCTTATTACTTCACACTGCGAGACTTGACTTATTTATATGCATATTTAACATTGCTTCATCAAAAAGGTAAATTTCATGATTATGTGTTCATGTACGATCAGAGCCTGGATTTCTGATGTGACTCAGCTCTCAGGATTCCAAACAGAAGTGCATTGAAATTCTGAATTCCTGCTGTGTCAGTCTCTATCTGGAAGAACTCAGACAGTAAACATTTCAATACAGACATCAGGGCTCAAAACGGACGAGATTATGCAGAGCTTACATTTGAAACTGATTAGGAGCCTGTTAGTTCCAAGAGAACTCTTGTCCCTGGTTCATATTTCAATTTCCTGCTCTTCAGAAGTAAATGTATAAATAAGCAACTGTAGTCAAAATGAAATACCTACAGTACAAATGGAGCAAGGTTTTTATTCTATACTCATGGTTTGCCACAGGGTTGTTTTCCATTATCTGTAAAGGAAAATCATCCTGTCATACTCTTAAACTCATCTGAAAACTCAGAAAAGCTGAGAGTTGAGTCTTCTCCACCTGTCTCTCATATTGCTTGCAGTGCTGAGGCATACTTATTGTTTTTAAAAATCAATGCAGCATTTTTAACGGCCTGGTGGGTTTTGATCTGGAAGGAGCAGGCCAAATCTGATCCCGTCATTCAGAGAAAGTAGTTAATAGAGAACATCCAGCGGAAGAGTTTGTATTGAACAATGAGAGTTGGATCCTCAGACACGAGTGGCATTTACACTAATGACAAAGATGCACAAATTCAATTTTAGAGGGCAGCAAAGCCCCATTATGGACTTATCTGGATCAGTTTCATATTTCACCAGTTCTTCTGGGTGCTGGAGACCCAAAAACATCTGATCATTTGCAGCCCTCGAGGACTGGGGTTGTGCATCACACTGGTCCTATTCACAACAGCGCACAAGAGACGGATCTTCACTCAGGGGGCCATGGGGTTCTTGAAGAAGCCATGTGGCTCGAACCACAAAGCTTGATGGATTTCTCAGATCATTAGCCTTTTTGCAATGCTTTTTTTGTTCTAAAAGGAAAGGATGTTTGTTTTTGCATTCTAAGAAGACAAACACGAATGAATGGGGTCTTGATTTAACCCCACCGCCAGTGCGTACATCAGTGACTTCTTATGTTCCACTTCTTTGTTTTTACAGGGAAAAGAAAGAATATAACGTGGTACCATACACAATAATGAACAAAAGTGAACTATCATCAAAGAGTATACGAACAGTGTAAATCCAACAATAACATAAAAGCAGAAATAAAGGAGTAGGAAGATTTTGAAGACATAATGCAGAGGTAGAAAGAGAAAAGAAAGGATAAAAAGGTAGTGAAAGAACAGAAGAGGGAAGTCACAGTCTTTAAGGTCTTTTATATGTCTGGGTTGAGCTGCAAGCTCTTCAGGACGTCTGAAAAGGGCTGCCAAGCCCCCACGTCGCCCCTGCGCCCGCGCCACGGTGCCCAGGAGCCCTCTCACCTCCACGCAGTTGTCACAGACGCTGCAGTGGGAGCAGCGCGGGGGCCGGTAGAAGTGGCAGGTGGCACACCACTTCATCCGGACCTGAATTCCCTTGATCTCCACGTTCTTGTAGAGCGGGGCCCGGAAATCGTCGTCCTTGTCCTCGTCCTCGTCGGCTGCAGGAAAGTGGGGAATTCACAGAGCTTGGGTGCACTGGACAGGCGGTCTACACGTAGCTGCTGTTATCACACAAGTTTAGGAATACATGTCATCCCTGGACAGTTGATCAGGCTAGCTGGTCTACTGTGCCAATCAAATAAATTTCCTTTCCACCCCAAAACTAAGATGAATAACACAGTATTAAGTACCTCTCCAGATCTGAGGGTTTAAAAAAGCCTTTTTTTGAACAAACACAATAGTCTCAAAGACAAATTACAGGGAGGGAAACCAGAATGATTAATCTTGTTTTATAGCTATTTAGTATGAGAGTTTACAGCTGTGTAATTCCAATAATCTCTATAAAACTTCCTCTTCATCCCAAATAGATTAAATATTTCATCCCAAATCCAGGTCACAGTGACAGGAAAAGCTGATCCAATAATCCTCGTTTTTTGCACTCAGGACCGTCTGCTCCCAGGAACAGTTAGAGAGAGGCCACTGGTCTCTTAAAGACACTTTCAGCGCTCAGATACGAACTATTAGCACTGAATCTTGGCAGGTCTGCATGTGACCTCCAGTTTACTAATGTGGACTAATAGGTACCAATGTGTCACAATGCCTGAGACTACTTTGGTATTACTGTATGTTGTTAAATCTTCTGATGGAGATCCACATCCTTGTGAGCCAGCACAGAGAAGGAACTCAAACACATGAACTTGCTCCCTTCTGAGAGCACAACACAGTGGCATCAATTAAAAAGGACAGCCAGGTCAAACGTTTGTGCTGACGTTGCTGTCTTACTGATGAGGTGAGGTGTGGCTGGAGTTTGGTGCCAATCAGCCTCCGGGGAAAAGCCAGAGAAAAAGACCCTGCTCAGCATGCTGGTGGAAGAGCTAAACAAAAACACTACTCGCAGGTTCAAAGGTCAATCAGTGCTGCTCAAATTTCCCCCACTGGCGCCTTCAGAGGTCTCGCAGCAATCTTCTTTCAGTATGTGGTCCTTCCTCCTGGGATTCAGGCACGCCATTGGTTGCAGAACCTGAAGTTAATTTTATCCTGCTATGAAAAGCAGGCCTAAATCTAGGCAAATACCTCAGATGGTTCTACAGAGCAAAAATAAAACCTGTTATACTGAGAGCATGTCAAGTATAGAGATCTTGCTGAATTCTGGTGTGTGATATGAACACAATTCTTAATTTTAAGGGATATCATAACTAGAGAAGCTCCTCCTAACAAGATCTCAATCCTGTTAGATCACTGAGTCGCCTCATCTCTCTGAGCTAGGGCAATGGTACAGTAGCTGGTCCTCGTTCACCTTCTCCGAGACTGGCCGCGTTTCCATGACGACCAGGTAGGAGCGGAGAGGCTGAAAGCTTTTGTAATATCCTTGGTGAGAAAAAAACCAGACGTGCATTATCAAAAAGAGAGGCAGCCGCCGGAGCCAGCTGCTTGTATCTTTGTGAGGCCACTGGGTTGTTTTTTTTTTATGCCAAAGCTAAACTTTCATCCGCACAGGAAAATAAGAACGCCTGGGTCTGCGAACGGCCATTTGCACATCTCGGGGGTTTCCGGAAGGAAAACAAAACCTCCTTTTTTCCAGATCGTTAAAATGAGAAAAAGTCTAAGAAAACTGTAACTGACTTGCTAATTAAGAGATGAAAAGGCCAGGACATTGACAGGGAAGTTGTGCTGTTGACAGAAAAAGAAAGGTTAAAGATGGAGAGAGAACACACTGACCTCGAGGGAACACTCCTGGGTCCATGAAGGTTGCCATGCTGAAATTGGCCAATACAAACAAAAATACAACCCCATTGTACAGGGGGACAGCTGGGGAGATCGCCTGTGTCAGCCAGGGGCACCTGGGGGAGAAGCACACAGAAGAGGAGGAGCTGTAGCTCTGTCAGGGACCTCTGGGATAAAGCACGTCTCATCTGCGTTTCTGTGTGTGCGCGCACATCTGAAATTCAGGAGGCCTGGCGCAGCCCTCCGGAGCGCCCCACCCCAGCCTCCCCCGAACGCCACAACTTTTCATTCTCGGCGGAAACAAAAAAAAAATGCAAAGGGAAGTGAAATTCAACGCTTGCCCTCTCTCACTAGGCACTAGGTACATCCGGCGCCCAGAAAAAAAAAACATGCTCTTGATAATGTTGTTTGGTGTTGAAGAACAGAACGGCACAGCACACTATCTTGAGCTTTAAAAAACACCAGCAATGGAGCAGGAAGGTTCCCTGCGTTGCTGTAAAGCGGGCTGCTTGCCCACAAAAGCCGCAGGCCACCTTGCAAGCACAGCGAAGGAGCTCTTTCGGCCTTTTTAATCCCGACAGCTACACTGCGAAAAACATGAAACAGAGGCTAAACGCAGCATAAAGCTGGCAACTTGAAAAAGTAGGACTTTACACAGCTCAGAAGATCAAAAGACATGGTCCACAGATTTAGAACTTATCCTTTAAACAAGCTCTCAAACAAGAATTTAAACCACGGCTAAAAAAAAAAAAAAATAGGTTTGGTTGGTTAGTCACAGACTTTGAGGAGACAAATGCGGATACTCAGGGGGTATACTTTGATTTCATCTGGAGGCCTGATGTACTGTATGGTTAAGGAAGGTGTGGCAAGCTGTATTGCCCACCCCAGAGATGGAGAAGAGAGTAATTACGCCAACCAGTCTGGTTTTCCAATCCAGGCATCGGCTAGCCACATGTCAGAGTAGGACTGAGGGAACTGGTAGCCCGGAAAGCTTCAGGTGTCTTTAACAAGGTTTGCTCAAAATGTGAACGTCTTGGTTTCAAAAAAGATTTTAATTACACCGTCACAACGCCTGTATGAGACGAGAATTGTTTAAGATCCAAAAGTTTTAGATCACGCTTCAGACTTCAAACACCTCTGACACGCACCCCCGAAAAGAACGGAGCTTCTCTCTCGTGATGGACAGCGACTTCACAGAAGGGGTTAGATTCATCGTGGATTTTTTAATGAGCCCTCATTTCCTGAAAAGTGCCATCATCAAACTGCCACGATCTAGCCGTGTAGTTTACTACATTTTGTGCTTTTGGCAAAACACAAGGTTTGCCATGGTGCACACCTCATTTTAATAGCCTCTACCCTATTAAGTCACAAATTCTAAAATGTGCGGAGCCTTTAATTGTTAGTTTGCTTAAGTGTGACAAGCTGTGAAAGATATCAGCTGAGAAGCCTTTTTTCTGCTTTCTGCTCAGCGGAGCTTCAACAAGTTCATGTTTCGCTTCTGTTTCTATAATACCTTGAAAAGAAAAGGCCTGGGTGACACCTAGGTGACTCTGGTCATGAGAGAATTGCATTTGAAACAGCCTGCCTTGTGCACAGCTCCTTCCTGCTGGACAGCTCCTTCACCAGTGGAAATCCAGGGACTTCAGCAAACAGGACTCTGAATGATAGCTGCCTTCCAGACAGCCAAGGATCTACATAGGAGTCTTGTCAGATTTGCTTCCTGTTTGCTCCTGAGCTCACTTACAACTCCCCTCCCAAAACATGTTTAATAATTCATACTGGATGGCAGAAGACCGAGCTGATGCAGGTTAACGAGCAGATCAGTGGCAAACACGAGCTTTAACTTTGCCCTGAAGGTCTGCCATGCGTGTCCACTGTAATAAAGGTCGGAGCCAAGCAGCCACAACGGCAGGGCACTATCGATGATGAAAACAAGGCATTGCACTCACCTAATGCTGTGTGTCGCAATAGTGCTAGGCACAAATTACACAAGACAGCAAGGCCTTTCTGGAGAAAGGTTAGAACATGTCACAAGGCTCACAGTCAATCCTGCTGCCCTTTCACACAATGTCCCAGTAAACCCACACCTCTCTGAATGACATTCTTCTGGGGACTCGTGAATGCCAGAGGGTCAGAGGTGTGGGTCTGTAGGGAATCATTGAGCACACAGTGCTCAGAGCACCGTAGGTGTACTGTCCACTTTCCAAGAAATCTGGGTACTGTTGAGTCACGAATTAAACAGAAATGATGGCACAGACGTTACTCAAGCACTCAGAATTACTCAAATGGGCTCGTTGGCAGGGGAAAGTCTTATATTCATTGCACCTTTATTTATTGAGTCCTGGCACACATTCCCTGGAGGAGCCAAGTCTGCAAATGTACTCAAGTAATTGAAGCCCAATGGTTAAAGTTGGCGTGTGATATACTGGAGCTGTACCACTTGAGGTAACAATGTGGAGTAGACTCTGTACTGCTCTGGACTGGAGGACTACGAGTTCAATTCCAGAGTGGGGTGCTGCTGTTGTACCCTTGAGCTCAAGACTGCTCCAGTAAATGCCTCGTTGTGTAAATGGGGCTCCAGGCTGTCAGTATAAATCAGAGTTTGGTCTCAATGGACTCATCTGGGTTTTATAAAGGATTAAATTAAAAATAAGAATCCTGCTCACACCAGGATGCTCGTCTGCTTTGCACTAAGCAGGTGCGAATCAGCTCCCAGGAGATTCTGCATCAACATCTTGTGTCAAATTTCTTTTGCGAGGTATATATATCAGATGCTAAAAATTGCTTCTTAGTGCAAACGGGGAAAAAAATAAATGCAGTGCACATCTCTTTGAATAATTAGTCACTTCACTGAAATGTAATTTAAAGAGTAGGAGAGATCCAGGTAGGAGAGCTCCTTCTGTTGAAGGCTTCATTTGGTAGTTAAATGATGATTAGCCTTTTACAAAAAGAATAGCAAGACTAAGGGCTTTAGGCTCATTCATCATGTAGAATACAACCAAGCAGAAAAGCACTTAACATGTCCAGTAACTTCAGGAATAGGGCAGCCCTAAGTTTTCAGGCAAAAATACCTTTTCTGGTATAAGGCACAGTCTTTAACAACTGAAATCAGAAACTGTGGAAGTGCAAACTTAAAAACCACTTCAGGTTCTAAATTAAAATTTAGAACAGGAGGCACCTCTTCAAGCAAAGGACTGTGGGAGTGTAGAAGAAGCTAGCCCAGCTATGTGGAAGCCCATACCCTGGCTTCTTTCAAGAAATGTCTGAATGAAATTCTGGGATCAATGAGCTACTACTAAACAGGTTAGATTGGGCCTACTGGTCTCCCTCTTGTTTGTAATCTTATTCAAGAAACATTTTACAATGGGTATGGCTGCTCACTGAAGTGCATTTGACAATGCTCTTCTGGGAATGCGTAAAGTATTTTGAATTGAATCATGCTCAGGTCCTAAAACTACAGAGGTACAGTGGACAGGAATGCGCTGAGATGTCAGAGATGCCAAACAGCTGCCTGTACTGACCAATAGTAGAGAAGGACAGGTCGAGACAGTAATATAAGCAGGTTTTTTTTTCCCTCTAACCTACAAGCACTGCTGACTTTGGATACCGTATATAAGCAAATACCACAGAGATACAGTTTCCAGCACTGTAGTCACTTCCAAGATGACTTGTGCTGCTATTATCTTTTTGATCTTCAATTCAAGCTTTTCCTGCTCACAGGAGCAACAGAGGCCTTTCCCAAGGGACTGTAGCGTATACCGAAAATGACACAGATATACACAAAATAAGTCTAGCGCTTGCTCAAAGAACAAGATTTTCATGGAGTCAAGTTTGTTTCAATCACATTGTCACTCTAGCCTTGGGAATAACACATCGATACATCCTGTACTGACTGTTTTTCAGAGCTAATTGGCCCCCGAACCAGATCACCTTAATAGCATTAGTAGCAATTGTGTGATGGAGCACTAAATTACATGTGTTTTGGGAACACCAACTGGGCCACAAGAGTGTCATATCGAGATCAGGTACCTTCAGATGGCCCCACAGACATTTTTGAAAATAGTACTTAAGATGGTTACTCCGTTTACAAAAAAAATGTCATTTGCCTCCTGCTTTAACCTGTTATTTCCCTTTGTTGCTCCCTAAACCACAAACTTGTACTTCCCAATTTTTCCACATCAGGGCTTCCCATCCCGAGGATGAAGACTCCTTCATGCTGGCTGTTTATTCACAGTTCACTCTTTGTCGGCCTCAACCACATGTGGCCAGCTGCAGATGTAGCTCCTGTATTTCTACATGAGAAAAGTACCCAGAACATGGTTTTCACTGCCTTGCAGTGATTTCAAGCCATAAAACAGGAGGCAAACTTGTGGTTCTACTGGTGTCTGCTGCCCAAACTCCAGAGCAGCACACATAATGGCGGGTAAGCCCCACTGAGTTACCTGTGACCCTAAAAACCTCCTTTATGCTTTATGGTACCACTGCTGCTCAGCTTGGCAGCCAAAGGGGAGTGCACATTGTCTTAATGTGTGTATGCATTGACATTTTTAATAGGTGTACTGACCCTCTTTTTCTCAAGTCGCCTCCCAAAAAATAATCTTGTAAAGGCAGCCCAGTCCTAGCTAAGAGCTATATTGGAAGATGAGGGCCAAGCAATGACTTTCACCGAAGTATATTCCACAAATGCTCTCTAGATACAGCTGTATTTGCCTCATCATCATCTGTGTTCCACATTTACAGGCACTCCAGGACCCATTTAGTTTCTGAACCTTCACCATAGTTCCTTGTGTGCAACAAATCCAGGGGTGATCTTGGCCGAAGACGCCCAGACAGACTGACCCGGTCTCAAAAACCAGTATTATTATTAGTCAGTGAAGAATTAAACTGCTATAATCAGAGATTACCATAAAAGCGATTAAAATTACTCATCCCTCAAAACTCTGGGGAATCTGTCTTCATCTCTTCTCAGACCTTGGGTGCAGAAGAAACTAGTAGGAAAGGACTCCTGGGTTATGTGAAACTAATTAGCTTGCATTGTGTAAGGGACTCCTGCTGCTAATTTTGTTGCTTTTTCCCCTGAATAAATAAGGTTTAATATGATTTATCTGACATCTGA